GGGGGAGGAGGGGAGCAGGGGGTCACTAGGGTTTGAGCAGTCAAAGAAGCTTAGTAGAAAAGGGAGAACTTCAGTTACAGGAGAGCCTCCAATATTTATGAAAAAGCCTAGGTTTTTCAAGTTCATGTTGGACTTTTTAGAATGTCTCATCAGACATTCTGGTTGTTGTTATCTCTGCCTAGAAATCTTTCCCCAATTTTTTTTTGTTTGTTTTTAATTTTTGTTAACTGAAGTATAGTTAACACAGTCTTACATTAGTTTCAGGTGTGTGACATAGTGAGTGGACAAGTCTACACATTGTGCTATGCTCTCCACAACTGTAGCTACCATCTGCCACCATACAACGCTATTACAACACCACTGACTGACTGTATTCCCTGTGCTGTACCTGTCATTCCGTGACTTATTCCAAAACTGGTAGCCTATAGCTCCCACTCCCCTTCACCCATTTCAATCATCCCTCTTACCCCCCTCCCCTCTGGCAACCAGAAGTTAGTTCTCTGTGTTCATAGGTCTGTTCCTGCTTTGTTTGTTCATTTGTTTTATTTTTTAGATTCTGCACATAAGTGAAATCTTACAGTGTTTGCCTTTCTCTGACTGATGTATTTCACTTAGCAAATACCCCTAGGTCCATCTCTTTCCCCAGTGTTTTTCTGGCACATTCCTCACTTCACTCAGGTCTCTGCTCAGTTGTCACCTTATCAGAATAGCTTCCTTGACAAATTCGTATAAAATTCCCCATCACTCTTTGTTCCTTGCGCTATTTTATTTTCTCCTTAGCATTCAAGGGCTCACACTTGAAAACTAGTCTAAGGCTTTTTCTCAAGGTGTGGGTTACATATTTCTTTACTTATTTGCTTATTGTGTCTCTAATCCCTTAAAATTTAACCCCCATGAGAACCGAAAGTTACTTTGTTTGGCTTTCCTCCGCCCCAGGCGGCCCATCTTAAGTAGCATATAGCACTTGGTGGCACATGGTGAATGTCGTGACTGAATGAATGCATGAGCCTTATATTCCTAACTTTTGCTATGGCTATTTTCAAATGTTTTTTTTTTTTATTTTTTTTAACGTTTATTTATTTTTGAGACAGAGAGAGACAGAGCATGAACGGGGGAGGGTCAGAGAGAGGGATACACAGAACCTGAAACAGGCTCTAGGCTCTGAGCCATCAGCACAGAGCCCGACATGGGGCTCGAACTCACGGACCGCGAGATCATGACCTGAGCCGAAGTCGGCCGCTTAACCGACTGAGCCACCCAGGCGCCCCTCAAATGGTTTTTAACAAGCAGCAATTTTTGAGAGGGGAGAGGGGTGGGGTGGGGAGAGAGAATCTCAAGCAGGCTCCGGGCTCAGCACAGCTCAATCCCATGACCCCAGGATCATGGCCTGAACCAAAATCAAGAGTCAGACGCTGAACCACCTGGGCCACCCAGGTGCCCCAATAAGCAGTAATTTCTTTTTTAATATTAGGTATCAGTATTATATAACATGATGTTGCTTTAAACAAATCATCATAAAGATGGCCATTTTTTATTGCTACCTGTAGTTGTTTTAAGGAAATATGGAGTAAATATGTGTTTGTGGCTAGAATCAACTCTCCACCAACCAAATTTTTACAAACTTATGTGTGGCCCTCTGTAAAATACACAGCAGAAAAATGTAAGTCATGATTTTCTAATATAGAGTTTTTTCAGTATTATTATTTGAAGAGCCTATTTCTATGACTTAATCTCATAATCCCTGTCTCATAAGAAAACTATTTCTGCAGCATCAAGCAAAGGAATTGGTTTTTCACTTAACATATAGCTACTCATGGGGCGCCTGGGTGGCACAGTCGGTTAAGCGTCCGACTTCAGCCAGGTCACGATCTCGCGGTCCGTGAGTTCGAGCCCCGC